CAGCAGACCTACGTTATCTTCAGGCAAAAAAAGACTTGCCTGGTGAAGTATAAGGCAATACACCGTACTTGTTAGAGCATGAGGAGTGATGCAAGCAAGAGTAGTCAAGTTATGTCTTAAGTGAGAAGAATTCAGAGTGGGTGTCCTGAAGAGTTAAAGTGCATCATCCCTTGACAGATGATCTAATAACATGGATATCAAGTTCCTATCAGATCTTTTTTAAGATCTTCAGTACTTTCTCTGATCCCACTCCTTTGAAGGCAGCAGGTACAGTGGTGGGCCAGTAACCACGTCACTTACTTCATTAATACAAATGAAAGAGGGTGTCTCGGTTAACATTTTAGTATTGTTTTATTATCCTGGACCTCAGGATCGTACCTCAGGATGGCTTTGGTACCTCAGAGTGATACAACTGGTGGCAAGTAAAGTCTGTGATATTTACGGATGACTTTTTAATGCTGTTCATTGGTTATTATGCATCTCCAAAATTAATTATCTGGGCTTTCCAGTTCTTAATATAGGCTCATTTTTAGGAAGCAATTTTTGTTAAGAAAAGAAATATAACTTCAGAATCAGCTTGAATTTTAGAAGATGAAAAGGGGGTTAGTTCTTTTCTGAAACAGTTGTCGTCCTTTTCATTAAAACAAGAATTATTTATTTAAAGCCTTAAAACTGTGAATATTTTTAATGGATATCTGCCACTAGATCCTCTGATTTTAGGCTATGGAGTCTGCTAGCTTGGCAGGAAGTGTCACAGTAGGACTAAAGAAAACCCCTGTATCCTTCAAAGAGCAGGAAAACAGGGGACATTGAAGGCAATTCTCAGGTAAGTTTCAATGTGTATTGAAACCCGATGTTTTCCAGTGCCTAGTACTGTTGTGATATAAATTGCCATTAATTTTTTCCCAAGACACTCTTTGGGTTTTCTTAACCAACGAGAGCATTAACGAGCATTCGTGCTTCAGTCAATTCCCCTGCTCCATCTCTCACTTAATCTTTGCCTTCTTTACATTCTCAACTTCCACGTATCTGAATGCCAGGAAAATCTCTCTCTGAGTGACACACGTACCTTAGTCTCAATGCACAACGGAGAAACAAACCAATTAGAGTCGCAGGCTTTATCCACAGCGGCGATTTTAGCAGTTTTGTAGTCAAGAAAAAAACCCCCCACAAATAGCCTTTCTCCAATCCTGGTTTGTATAGTTTTGCATTTATCCGTTTCTCGTCTGGACCAAACTGCTGGTTTAGGCCACTTTCTCATCTACCGCTGTCCCATCCATTTTTTTAAGTGAGCATTGCTTCTCCTACTTAAACCCTAGGATACCCGTGGTTTGGTCATGGGGGCTTTCATTGTTTTAAATGGGATAAACATCGCTGCCGGTGATATCATGCTGCACATTCAAGGTATGGCAGTTGCCCCTGGATAACGTTCAACAAGCTGTAGAGCACTGCTGGGCTGTGGATCTCAAAATTAATTATCTGGGCTTTCAAGTTCTTAATATAGGCTCATTTTTAGGAAGCAATTTTTGTTAAGAAAATAAATATAACTTCAGAATGGGAATCCCAGCGTTGGGGTTTGCCTGCGTGCGTCTGTACTAAAAAGGCCCGTAAGTGAGGCAAGCTCTTAGATTAACTGGATGGCAGAGATACCATAGGAGGAAATACCAAAGAGTAAGTACAAAGCCTTGTGAAATGATTTGCTTATTTTTTAATAATGTATTTATGTCCCTTGGGATCAAGAGTTTGACTTTAGTCCCACAAGACTTTGGTCCCACACGTGGGCAGCTCCTTGAAGGATCGGTGTGCACCTTGAGAATTACCAATCCTCACCCTGAAAGAAACAAACAGGCATTTCAACACACTTTGTTCAGGAAGAGAGTTCCAGATAGTGTCTTTCATAAAAGGAAACAATGGCAATTTATAAGGACAGTGCTGCAGATAAAGCAAACCAAATACACATCGAAACTTACTTGAAAACAAACTTCAAAACCTACTGCTTGGTCTCATCTTTCCCTTGAACACGCTGAGAGCTTCTTTTCCTCGTATTTCACCTCTCTGTCATCCAAGACAGGCCTCAGTGGAAACATCTGGGAAAGTACCGTTGGGACCTGGGTACCAATGTCTTATTTTCAAAACTGGCTGAAGTCCTTAGGGTTAGGTCAGCTAAGGGAATGCAGGGCAATGAAACGTACGTTTCCATCGCAGTACCTACCTCGTTGTGCTTTGAGTCTAATGTGAGATTGAGCCCGAATCAGGAATACAGGCCTTTCTGCAACACACAGGGAAAGTCAGGCACAACTGAAGGAATCTTAAGAAACCAGATAAGCAGAAAACCACCTGAATTAGCCAGGGTGAACTATAGGGGAGGAGAGGGAGTAGACAGGTAGGTGGTTGGTTTGGGCTGTGCTTGCGGGGATGTTGGTGGGTACAGGGCCAGGCAGGAATTAGCAGCAGTTTTCATGAATTTAAAGTAAAGTGAATCTATCTTCAAGATGACATAAAGAAGCAGATAGGTGCTTTTTGCTGCGTCTGCTCTGCCCTTGGCAATGTGATCCGAGGAATACCGGGCTGTTCCTGAGATCATGGTTACGTGACATCCGTGCTACCGTCCGACGCCTGTTCTCAGGCAGCTTGAGCTGTGGCCAGATGCCATTTGCCTGTGCAGGAAGGGGCATCGGGGCCCTGTGTGGAAGTACCCAACTAGTTTTTTCTGCTTAGCATCACCTTTGCAAGGACAGACTAGGTGGAGAGTTAGGACCTATCCATATGGCAGATAAAACATGTTCTGCCAAGGCACTGGAAGTATCAGGGCCATTTGAGGTTCACCCTGGCAATCCCAGTGCCTGCTCCCAAGCCCGGATTTACTTCTACTGCCTTGTCTTGAGATTCAGAGGCTACAGACTTCTACAGTTCAATAGGAATTAGGTATCAAATATCTTGGGGCCACTGAATCTACAGTACTTCAGAGAATGAGACTCAGGTACAGTTGAAGATCACAGCTCTCACGTCATTTTAGGTATCAGCTGCTTTAACGTTTTGTTTATTTTATTGATTTTTTAGAAGACATGAGAGTACATGAATTAATTTTTTCAAATTATTCAAGTACACTTGGAAAACACTGGGGTTTTCTATTTATTTTGTTGAAGGATAGAGGAGAACATTTCAGTACTTTCACTCACTGGTGCTGTATAATGGTTTAAGGGGGCATTAGACTCCTTTAGACAATTTCCTTGTTGCTGCTGTTAAGCAATGAAATGTTAAGCACAAAATCTGAAATAATTGCAAGAAAAGTGTGCATGCCTTGGATTCCTATATTTTCATCCCTGGATGCCTTACTCCCTTCATATTTGCAAACAGTGTTTTGAGAGGGTCTGATGCAACCTCTAGAATTATTTCAGATGTTTTATTTCCATGAGCTTCCATAGATCTTCATATTTATCTTTCCTGTATCACTGGAAAGTATATGCAATTTTAATCAGAGGAGCTAGTGATGAATTTAGGGGGTTTTATTGTGGTTAAAAAGTGTCCCATGCATCTGTTTCTCTCTCACGTGATGTTATGACTTAGGGGGTCTGCCATCTGTTTACTTCAATGCGGAACTAAGCATAAATACATATATAAATAGCCTTACATTTAAGGAACCCAAAATGACTTTATTTGACCAGATATCTTTTTGGTCCTTTACAAGTTTGGGTTTCGCTCTGGATTAATTTTCATTTTCATAAATGTTGGCCAGTATGTAAAAGCACAAACCCATAAAAACATGCCAAATGTGGTTTGTGCTTGGGGATATGTAGCAATCTTTGCCGCACTTAAAAAAAACTAATTGCCCGTAGACACCAAAAATCTGCTGTGATTTCCCTTTACTACATCAAAGGACATGCAATTGGTATACGTTCTGAAATGCCGTAGTCTCTGCAAAAACATATTGCAATACGTATTCATCAGACATACAGAACTACAGATATTTTTGCAGGAGTCACAAATGACACATAAACACAGGGAGAAAATGTTACATTCTGTGTATTGCATTCCTTGCTTGCAAATGCATATATGCAATGCTATTTTAGAAGCAGCTTTTATTAGGAGAATATTACCAATTTCTTAAACTGTGCTGTGGTCGTTACTATGAAGGTTTGTATCATATGTTTAAAAAGGAGTACAAAACCATTGTAAGTAGATTCTCTCTGCTCCCTCCTCAAAAACATAAACAACATTATGATGTAACATATGTGTAAGATGTAAAAAGAAACCCAACACATACATGGATGTGGAGCAGAAGAAATACAGAATTAGGAGCCAAATACTAACTACATGGGCAAGAAGTACGTGTAGCATATAACCACACATCCAGGATTGTGCACAGACATTCAGTGCAGCCAGAACTGTCTATCCCAATATGTGCTTATACCTTTGTTTCCACGTAATCTGCTTTCCTTTCCTACACACACGTAGACAGATGGCATAAGGTGAAAAGCTTTTGTGAAAGGCAGTGGATGAATCGGGGATCTGGTAGAGAAGCCCAGTGCACTCCCTATGGGAGAATAGTTCTTCCCAGGATGCTTCTGCCTGCCAGCTGGGGAACTGCAGAGAGTACGTGCCTCCTGTGTGGGAGGAAAAATAGGGGCTTTTTGCTTCAACATAGCTCTATTTTGAGTAACGGTTTATACAAAATGCTGTCCTACATCTGACATGAAATAATTGATAGATGTTAAGTATCTTTATGTAGAAGCACAAGCAGAGATTGAATACTGGGCCAAATTCACCCGATAGCTTAGCTATAACTCAGTTGATTTCGGTAGATTAACCCTTGCCTACGTTAAAGCTGAAGTTAGGGCCTCTTAGCCATACATCGGGTGTGTACAGTAATGTACAAGTAAAAAGAAATGGGTATTAGAAATCCAAAACATATGAACTGACATTATGTCCAGTTTCTGGATTGATCAATAAAACACAGAGTGGCATTAGAGCAGTGGTTACACATTTTTGGTCTGTTGACCATGGCCAACCCTCAGCATTACTCGTGGGCCAGCAAGCACCTGCCATTCAGCTTTGAATTGCAAACGCACTACGGCCAGTTGGGTTCTGAAGTCCCGTTGCAACGTCCTCGTTTTGCGATGGTAAGGTTGGTAACATCGCTTGGTAACAAGCAGCGATGGCTGCCGCTTGGTAACCAGTGCCCTGTTGAAGGAGCCGCGTACTTCTTTATCCTGAAATACTACATATCCCTCCTGAGTGTTGGGACATCTGACAGCTTGGCTAAATCTCTAGCCATCAGGACAGGAGGACGCCTAGGCTCACAGGCTGCACGCCGCCTTAGCTGCAGTTTGTTCTTTCAGTGAGTCCTACCTGGGTCACCTGTACGCAGTACTCCTTCCAGCTGTGCCAGGGGAGCGGGCTCAGGTGGGTAAGCTGCCGAGGGTCACATTTCTTTTCCAACTGGTGTTCATGGAGATTGAGGTGCTTCCTCGGCAGTTCTTTCACTTGAGCTCTGCTTGACTTGGGGCCCATCCTAGCTCTAGAATGGATTTTATTTTCTAAATAATGTGTTCCAGTTCAGTCAAAAGTCATGGCTGTCACGCAGGAATCTTGTAACGAAATTCTTTGGCCTTTTGCAAATATTAGACTAGATGATGTAATAGTTGTTCTAGTTTCATAATCTATGAATCTGTACATATATACATCGTTGTGCTTCTTGAGAAGGCAGTGAAAGCTCTTTTCTTCTATTACATCTTCAGTTTGTAATTGCATCTTGCACATAATCATTACTGACTTAATACTAATGACAGACAAAGTATATTTGATTGAAGATAAAGCCCAGAAAAAGCAACTGAGAATAAGGCAATTTGGAATGCCTGCAAACAGATTTTTTTTTAAGTTATTATTCTTATTAGGTTAGTTTGCCTTATTTTTAGTTTACATCCACCTCCCTGAGTCAGCAGAACTGTGGGAGCGCAGGCTAAATTTTCTTTTGATACATGCATTAATATTGGAAATGTTTGTGGAAAGTTTACCTGGAGGCACCCACCAGTAACATTCAATTACAACTTAATTGCTTATAAATTTACCTGTTTGGATCAAGGTTACCAAAGGTAATACATGAGACAACATGGTTTTCATTTTTCACAGTGTTGACTCCCTGCACCTCTAAGAGAAGACCTTGGTAGTCCTTAACATAGTCTTCCCACTTGCAAAGGGTATTCATACCTCGGAAACTCAGCATGTATTTTTAGTTCCTTCTGAAGAGTTTTGGTAGTGTTTTTCTCTTAAATGTTCCTTAAAACTGATGTCAGTGTTTCCTGCTCTGTAATTATTGTTTGCCAACATCAGGAGCAGGTTCCCAAAATAATCTTTCCTCATATGAGTAGATCTTACCCACGTGATTTGTTCCAGTGAAATGAGTTATCTGTTTTAAATACTGCCTCTGAGATAAAAGGAGACTACAGCATCAGACCTCCCACAGAATTTGCCTACCAGCTTAATTGTTTTATAAGCACAGGCCCAGCCTGCTCTACCAAGTTTTGGCCTGTGTAGCTATACTGGTTCAAGATCTGAAATTTTCTTAGACCTTTGCTGATGGCAAAATCATCATAGAATCATAGAATAGTTTGGGTTGGAAGGGACCTCTAAAGGTCATCTAGTCCAACCCCCCTGCCATGGGCAGGGACATCTTCAACTCGATCAGGTTGCTCAGAGCCCCGTCCAACCTGACCTTGAATGTTTCCAGGGATGGGGCATCCACCACCTCTCTGGACAACCTGTGCCAGTGCCTCACCACTCTCAGCATAAAAAATTTCTTCCTTCTATCTAGTCTAAATCTACCCCCCTTTAGTTTAAAGCCATTCCCCCTTGTCCTGTCACAACAGGCCCTGCTAAAGAGTTTGCTGCCATCTTTTTTATAAGCCCCCTTTAAGTACTGATAGGCTGCAATAAGGTCTCCCCAAAGCCTTCTCTTCTCCAGGCTGAACAACGCCAACTCTCTCAGCCTTTCTTCATAGGAGAGGTGTTCCATCCCTCTGATCATCTTCGTGGCCCTCCTCTGGACCCACTCCAACAGGTCCGTGTCTTTCTTATGCTGAGGGCT